GGGGGGCCGCATTACAAAATCGATTGCCCCACCTATCACGAACAACGCCTCCAGCAGAGGACCCAATCCCGGAAGGGGAAGGGCAAGGGCAAATCTGATCGCCCACGCCCTTGGGCGCCAGCAGCCCATCAGTGGCGAGTGGTGCCAAAGCCCTCGGAGGGAAAGGGTGCAGCCGGAAGCTCTTCGGACGCCGTTGTCGGGCCGCCAGAGCGCACCATTGCTCAAGACATTGCAATGAAGGGCGCAGCCAAGGCCAAGGGCAAGGGCAAGAGCGATCAGCAGCCGAAGGGCAAGGGCAAGAATGAGCCGCAGAAGGGGCAGTATAAGTCCGAGCCATACAAGGGGCATGGCAAGGAGAAGGGCAAAGGAAAGCCTGCTCAGGAGCGGGTGTACTATGGCGATCGTGAGTGGTCCGGATCTTGGAGTTTTTCGTGGAAGTGGACCACCTCCCGGGGATGGTACTGGGAGTGGGACCCATCGTGTGTGTCTTCCATGCTAACAGGAACGTTAGCCGGAATGCTTTCTTTCTCTTGTTGGCATGTGAAGTATATGGATTTCAAGTTCGTTACGCTAACGGGAACGTTAGCCGACATTTTGGCTAACTGTTTCAACAGCGTTGCGAACCGGAAGGTTTGCCGTGTCCATTTTGGCTGGCACGCCTTGTGCATTCATTTTGTCAATAGTAATTCACGGTACATGGCACCCGTGGCGTCTTGTTTGGAGTGGTAATGCTCCCGTGATGCTAGGTGGAAACCTAAGCCGTGTGTTTTGCCTTTTGCAGCAATCCGCCAAGCGCACAAAAAGAGCCGAACCTTTCTTGCAACTTTCTCCACAACAACCACGCATTCGTAGGTCATGCATATTGTACATAGCATTGCAGCCTGTCCTGAGGTCTACGATGGCTGCTTTCTGCCTCTTCGGTGCTGCCAGTGAACTGGCGGCGCCGCGGGGGGTATTTTTCACAGCTACTGTACATAGTCATTGCCCTAACGACGCGTATATTTGGCTCAAGGAAAACTGGTGCTTATAGGTTGTTTCCTATCTGAAATAATCTTTTTGATGGCTATGCAGCATGAAAATTTCCGATTTTTGTTCAGCCCGTTGCCGGCCCGTGGCCCTGCCTCCTTAACTAAGTAGGCGCCTACTTAAGTAATAAACTTGCTACTAGCTACTTAAGCTACACTGCTACACATTGACGCAGGATAGCGAACTACGCATTTTGTTCCTAGATTTTGAGGGAAACTGAGATGCAAAATAGAGCAGATGCATCATTGGTTGCTTGAGGCTTCATCTGTGGGAGCCCAAGGCAGAGGCACCAGCGACAACGAGCACCACAGGGCAGCCGAGACCGACCTTGGCAGATGCCTTCGAGGCCGTTTTGATTGCTTGATGCTGGGTCTCAATTTGTATTGAATGATTTTATGCTCACGGTACTAGTGATGTTCATAATTTAATATGTGAATATCACATCACAATAAGCTAGACTATAGACATCTATAGACTCTCCCCACCCACTTCCATTGCCCAAATCAGGACACGGGAAGATCTCAGGGGCCCTGGGTCTCCAAGTGACGATGGTACCCATGCGCAGACGTATCACTTCCCTTATATACCTTTTTTGATCCGTTTTCGCTCCTTTTGCAGGTCACCGACCGCTGGACAAACCTCGGGCCTATCACTGACTTTTGCACCAAGGAACAATTGTTAACCGTTAACCGCATTTGTTAGGTTGCAAAGTGTAGGCATTTGGGTTCCAATCCATCCTGTGCACCATGAAGAACAGTTGATGCACAATGAACTGTTGCTCTTCAAGGTGTTGCCATCTTTGCTTTGATCCCGTGGCTTGTGATTGTTGCATGTAAGCCTCGCGTGGATTGGAGAGCGGCAGGAGGATACCGACGGCCTGACTAACCAAATCATCACGTGCAGTGGCGCCGGTGAGAAGAGTGGCTCTTTGCGTTTCATCGAGATGGGCATTCCCGTTGAAGAGTTGGGAAGTTCAGAAGGCCAACCTGACGAAGTTGGGGGCAAAGGGACGGAAGCACGTTTTCTTGTTGAGCGAGTATACTCTGGTCGCCTGAGCTGGATTCGCACGTTTTTCTGTTCAGTTGATGCGCACAAAGAACCTGTGCTGGATTCCAACAGTTTCGAGTGCTGGGAGGCTTCGGCAACGTGCTTGGCATGTGGGCACTGGGTTCGCACTTCCTGGTGCTCACCCGCTCCAATAGTACTGAAGTCCTACGTATTTCAGAATGCCCCTCAGCAGAATTAAAACCAGGCAGCTGACTGGAGTGGTTTGACAAAGCTTGGACTTCGTTGCCTTGTGGCAACCAATCTCATGGTCCAAGCTTTTATACAGTGACAGGTAGTAGTCATGTCTTTTTTGTTGTCATAGTTTGCTTTTGTGAGGAACTTTCCCAGCTGACTCTCCGACTCTTACCATATAAGGGAGCATCCAAATCTAAAAGCCGATGAACACATTTCGCACATTTCGTCATTTAGGTGCCTTTGGCCTTTGTTATGGCGTTGAAGCTCATTAAATGAGGGACTGGCAGGCAAGTGACCCTAGATAAAATATGATAAATTTACTTTGCTTTGGCCCACGGATCACTAGTAAAAGCGATCCGATACTTTAATTTTGATACCAAACTCCATCAACCACTTTACATGCCACTTACATCCATTTACCACGCGCCCAGCTGGGTGTGGTTCGATTGGTTGAGCAAGTGAACAGCTATATACATAGTACTATGTATACTATATATGCCCCCAAACAAACAAGGATGATGGAAATCCATACAACGAATGCGTGGGGTTCCCGAGAACATTTCAACTGAGCCTGGCTTCGCAAATAGAGGTCAGAGTGGCGATGGAGATTTCTCCCTGGAAGTTTGGGCGAAGACAGCTGGCCTCCAATTAGAGGAGGAGACTCTGCTTTGTTGCGGCTTCGGCCTCAGCAGCGACTCAAGCATCGAGACTGGCTTGACTTTGTTTTCGCAGCTGCAAGCTAAACGATTTTAAAGGCATTATCCCACTTGGAATTGGTTTCAGTGAGTTGACGAGGTGTTTGCGACAGAGTCGTGATACAAGTGACCCAATCTGGTGTGTGGGCTATGAACTCAGAGAACCTCGCGCCGGTTTCTGAGCAGCCTGACAGCACTTTTGCAGTGCCCAAATCTGTCGATTGCCAACATTGCTATATGTAGTAACAAGTGCCACACTAGTAGTAACAAGTGCCTTACTAGTAGTAACAAAAAAGCTATTAGAATTAACACTAAATTAATAGCTTCTTGTTTGTTGGGCGTGCGATGGTGGGTCTACTATGTTTACCTGGTGGCTGATGCCTTGCAAGACTCACAGGATCCAGCAGGACATCACAGGACTTGTCCATAGTGACGCTCATGCTTGAAGCATCTTGAAGCCTACTGAAGGCTTCTGTGGGAATGGCCTCCAACCTAACAGCAATGGCCTCCAACCTGGAAGCGATGGCCTCCTCCAACCTAGAAGCAGTGGCCTCCAACCTATGAATAGCGGTGGTCTCCAACCCAATAGCAATGGCCTCCAACCGAATAGCGTTGGCCTCCAACCGAATAGCGATGGCCTCCAACCTAATGATGGCTTGAAGCCTACTGAAGGCTCCTGTGGGGATCCCTCCTGAGGTGGACAGCCGGCGCGCCTTTCCTGACAGCTTCCGAGATGAGAGGTGGACAAGGCTGTTGACCGTGTTGTTTGGTGTGATTCGCAGTCGGTGATTGAGATTTGTACAAGGCTGCCTGATCATCAGCTAGGGCTTCCCTATAGGCAACCCGAAGAAATCTAACTGCATAATTTCGCATCCAGGCACGTAGAATGCATGTGTGCAGAGATTTTTGACTAGAATTTGGTCCAGCAGGCTGATATGTGCGCATGTTGGAGCAGGCTTGATAGTATGCGCAATACGGCATGTGACTTAAGCTCGAACAGATTGCAGGTGTGATGCTTGCAACGCAGAAAGGAGATGTCTATGCCATAGATTTCCAAGAAGGCAAGGCCAAAGACTAAAGACATCAAAGACTGAAGGCATCTGAAGGCGATTCCCGGGCCCTGCAGGGGCCTGCAGGGCCCTAATTTTGGCATGTTTTGGGACCAGTGTACCAGCCTTTACCGAAAATACCACTGATACTACCTCTGAGACATCAAGAAACAAGAAACCAATACACATTTGATGCGTCCCATCAGTCTACCATTGATCCCTTTCTTTTGCTTTGTGCATTCTGCTCACCATATCTTGTATTATTGTCCAGGCTCACAGCGCCTGATCAGTGCGGGGGAATGGCAACTGCGAAGACACTCGCATTCAAAGCCGGACAGTGAGCGGGACTGGGACATGGGAGTTTTACCTTGACTTCCTTGGATTGCAACCTCACAGCGAGGCACATGCGCAGATCAATGATCAATGCTATTTGCAGGCCCTGATGATGCTAAGGATTCAAGCTTGCAGAGTGACATCCATAAAGTAATATATATACAGATAACTATATATATACAGTAGCTGTAGCCAAACCACATTCGCTTTGGATATTGGCCATTTGTTTTGTATGGCGCGGGCCGGGCTTCAACAGTTTTCAGCTGCTATTGAGTGCATGACAATGATTTTTAGGGCACTTGGACTTTGAACTGTGACCAAGCTGACACGCAATTGACGCGCTTTAAGCTGTGCAGGTTTAGCCGAGGATAAGGTGGTGACGCCGTTTTATACATTTTATACCATGTTGAGTTTTGCTTCGCTTGTACCCGCTTGTACCTTCATTTTTTCATTGTTCAGTATGCTTGATGTTGAGTTCAATCTCCGCTTTAGCTTTTCCTGGGGCGTGTTTGCCTAGCTCATAGCAAATCCTGAAATTTGAGGTGAACCTAGCTGCTTGGCAGCTACAACACCATGGTGTGCTGCCGGGCTTTGGAGTGATGAGCTTGTCATTTGGGAACGCAAGAAGGTCTGAAATTCATCGAAATTCTGCATTGCTGTGGGTCATGCCATTGATGTCAATTCCCGAGTCTTTGATGTTGCAGCACATTTTTGGTTCGGTCCATGTTTGTTCAGGACTTTTGGCAGTCCCTGACCTTGCCAACTCTTCCCCGGTCCTTGGCATTTCTTCGGTTCTCGGCAGTGCCACGACAGCACTTGACCGAGTGCGACGCATCCACAACGGGCGGGGATTCGCTTCAATTGCAATGTTTGATTGCTCCAGTCACGGTTTCAGGTTAGGTTCCGGCACACAATCTGGGTTCCAGTGCTTGATGCTACAAGAGGGGGCAAATACAATCTTCAGGTGCATGGGTCAGTCGTTCGGTCATCATTTATTTCAAGATATGTCAAGCCTCCGGCCTGTTCCATAGGCCTCATGCCCGTGTTTTGCAAGTCAAGTCATGGGAAGTGTCATTCGCAGGATGGAACGAGGAAAGGGCAAAGGAAAGAGCCAACGGAAAGAGGAAGAGGAAAAAGGTAGAGGAAAGCAAGAAGGAAAGGAAGAGGATGAGAAAAAGGACAAAGACACAGGGAGAGAAGGGAAAAGGATGGAAGAGGGGGATGTACAGTTGAGGCGAGAATCTAAGAAAGGGGCAATTGTACAACTTAGCTACAACATAACATAATAACAACCGGCAAGCTGCGGCTGGTGGTTTCTGATGCTAGAACTCTGACGGTCGCCGCCTCTTCCATGCGACTCCTTAATAAGTATAGGGCGCCTCTCCCACAACGCCTTTGTTGAACCATCTTGGCGGCTATGTTCTTGCCGCGGGGGTGCTGCGCCAGTTTCTAGTGTGTATTTATTGCAATTAACAAATTTGTTATAGTATATAATAATAGGTCTATGAAATATGAAACCGTTTGCTGCTTGGAATGGCTACCAGAGAAATGGGTTATTGGTGCCGAGGCCCATGAGCCAGAGCTTAGGCTATTCGCGGGACTTTGCGATGGACGTGTGTCGGTTGTAACGGTGGACGGTGCATGGAGACTGCAGCATACTGCAACTCGGAACTGTTCACATGTTGCCAGTGTTCGCAGCATTCCCTACTTTTGAAAATGTATGTTTGATTTTGAAGTATGTTCATTCTCTAAATGAGCAGAGTGCAGCATAGTGTAGTTTACCTTCGGTAGTGACCCGGTATTGCTGGCTGACCCTGTCATGCATGACATCACTCGTCTCACCTTCAAGTTTCCAGCTTACCACATTTGGATTCGGCATGATTATATAAGAGAAATAGGCGTGGCTGGGCTTGGACCTAATTAGGTTGCAGTTGGATTGCAGCCTGTGCAGCTGCTGCCTTTTCCTGGTGCTGCAGATGTGGAGACTGACATGGGAGCCTCGCATAGTTCTTTTGGGGGATGCCATTCAACATCCCAATATCCGATATTCCAGTGAGAGCCCTTTCCATGTCCTGCAATGAGGACCCAAGCTACCATGGGGTCAACCCTGCGAAGGTGCACAGGACACTGGAGCCAATTGGAGCGGAGAATGGGCAGATTCTCATTTGCCCTTTGTTCTTGCCAGGAGCAAGACCGTTTGCTTGCTATCAGCGGAAAGGGTAGCATACTGCAGGCACCTTTGTCCATGTTGGTAAACTTATATACGATTCATTTGACATCACACACTGTAAACACTGCACCGCACAGTCAAGTTGTATTTTGTGAGCTCGATAATTTGTGAGGCTCAATCCCAGCGTGTCCTCCGCTGGCAGATATGCCTTCCAAGCATGTCTCATGCTGCCTGCAACTCAGCCCAAACACGTTGGATATCCAGCATGGCCGGTGGGCGGACATTCCAAACAAACACAACCACAATTATATATATATATATAATGTAAAGTGTTGGCTGGCAATGGTTGAGAGTACAACAGGCTTTGTATGCGGAGATATGCCGAGAGATGATGCGATGCAAAGATTTGTGAAGTGATGCAGTGAGGTTTAATGTAGTTCTTGTGATTTGTCATGTGGTGAAGTGTAACAACATCATCTGAAATGGTGCTGGCATGCTGAAGCCTGGGGCGGTGACGTGCAAAATGTGGTGATTTTTGACGTTGTCATGTTTAGTTCGACATTTCCAGACGCAGGAAACGAGGATGACTGTAGCGCTGCCTCAGGTTTGTCCTGAAGTCTTTGGCTCAGCTTGGAGTCATGTCACATGCAAAAAAAAGGGCCTGATCACTCCAATCTTGGGACAACGGCCTCAGAAGGTTCGACAGCCAGATCAAGAAGGCATCATCCTGTGCCCCCTTTGGTAGCATGTCGTGGAAGACCCGTGCAAGGCTGTCGTCAAAGAACCACCATCCCTCTGGCGTGGTGCTTGAGCCACGTGTTGAAGTGACCTGCCCTGCTCGTACCATGGTGGCAAACAAACCCAAGAATCAAGAACTTCTGGTGGGAAATCTCAGTGGAATTCATAGCAAGGATGGGCATCATGACATGAGGGTGTCTCCAAATGTCACAGCCGGATCACAGCCTTTGACCTCTCCAATGATGGCATGCAAGGTGTCGATGGCCAGGCACATGGCTTCAGTGGTACCTGTCAGCCCAGCGCGCATGCCAAACAGGTAGGTCCAGGAGCCTATGACCATTTGCAATGGCACTCTCTTGTCGTGACTGCCAGTGTCAGAAACGCGAACGCTCTCAAGGGTTGAATATCGTCTTCCCCACAAATGAGAGAGACCTGGAACATGAAGCCAGTTGCACATGTAATGCATGCCGTTTGCGGCGCATTGTTGGCCGTTGGTGCTTCCCCATGATTCAAACAATGGTGCTAGTGCAGCTGTGCGGTGAAGCCAGGATTCCCCCTGCCGGCATTCCGTAAACAGGCCCAATGGACATCTCCACCAGACACATCCCCTGCCTGACTCGCAACCCCATGCACTTCCATTCCCTGGCGCATCCAACTCAACCAACCCCTGCATCAAGCACCCCAGAATTTTGCCACCAGTGGGAGTACTATGGGGTACTATATACTATATATATAATACTAATTACACTGACACAAATATATATATATATACTATTATGTACCATATAGTGTTGTACTGTACCCAGCGATGAAGTAAACCACCCGGGCAAACTTAACTGCAACCCTTTGGCTCCAAGACCTGCTTCTTTCCGAGTGGTTCGTCCGTGCAAACCCATCTCCTATTTGCCACACATGTTTACTCAGAACTTTCTCGAGGATTTTGTTGCCAAAATCTATCGGCTCGATTGCTGGAAAACATAAATTGCCAGGAGGTTGTACTTTGTGCTGTAAGAATTGATGTCCAGACTTGATTTTGGCATCGAGGCCTTTTTCTCTCACGGCTTTGGCTGCATCCAACACTGTATGGCTTTTATTAGTCATGAGCGCCATTCCTAGCACTGAACGTCCGAAGACTTGAAAACTCCAAGAGCCGCTGTGGGCTTTGATTGGTGGGATGATGAGGCGGTTGCTGCTCGCACTGCTGCGGCTTGGTCAGCGAATAGATGTGCGAACTGTCCCGCTGCCGCAGGCACCCCGCAGGACGGACATGTGTTTGGATGTTTTTGGCAATTCTAGCTGTTTTAGGCAATATGTTGCTCCTACATTATTACAGCAATTATGTATATATTCATTATAGTAAATAATGATATGTGTATTCTTATTGCCGTTTCTTCTACCTTGGCGGCTCCGTGAGAGAGATCCAGGGGTTTGTTTCAAGTGTTTAGTTGGAGTATGCACTTCACAAGGGTTCTATGTTTGGGAGGATTTGCTACCATACTGGGAGCCGAATCTGCGTGGTTGGTTGCTCCGACCTGCCCTCCATATCCACTCCAGACATGTTGCACACTGAGCTAGGAGGAAGATGAAAAATAGATGAAACTAGCTTGCCTGTGATACGCATAATTCGGGGCATATCCAAGGCCGAGAACCAGATCCAGAGCCAACGTGCAATTTGTCCACTCCGAAACCACAGACTTGCTGGGCACAATGACCTTAGGGCAGGATGTGCCTCAACCCGCACTTTCACACCTGAGCATTCCTTTTTTGGTTTGCTCATGTCTCTGAGGAGATGGTGGCATCGGTCGTTGCGGTGACATTTGCCGGGGACTGTACTGAATACATAGCAGCCAGGGTCCCAGGAAGGGCCAACTTAGCAGCCAGAGTTGTAGCACATGTCTACTCAGAGTCTACGACACCAATGTAATGAACTGGTGCTTCCGAATGCAAGCGGATGGGACGCCCACCTATCACAGGTTGGTACAGCGATCGTGTTGGACAACGAGCCAGAGCCCTCACGGGGGCAGGCCAGGGCAGTCGTTGGAGCGGTTGGTTGATATTAGGTCACGGGATGCTGAGAGTTTTGGAAGGTTCTGTTGCTAGCGCTTCGGGGCGATACCTCTGTACAGACTGCCAAGTGCGGCCCTGGCCCCAGAGCCATTAAGAGATTTGCAATGATTCGCTCATGTTCTGGCTGGATTTTAGGTTTGGACGAGGCGGGTCAGCTGGCGGGCTAGCTCTCCCAAGTGAAGTGTCCAAAATTATGTGTAAGGTTTGGAATTTGGTTAAATTAGATGCCCTTGTTACTAGTAGGGATGCCCTTGTTATATACCAGTAGCTACAGTAGCTTGTTTATGAGACGCCATGGCTATTCGTATCTATTCGTGACTGCTTCGAATATGTTTCGTTAGTGTCACAGGCCGTCGTGCAGAGACGTTTTGAACAATTCGCAGTGTTACCAGCAAATGCATCGTGAGACATCATGTTGGCCCAGTTTTTTTCATGTTCCTTCAAGGTATTGCAGACGCGACTGGCCCCTCATTAACGTTGCTCCTAAACCTGAAATTGGACTGTGAAGGTACATACTTGGAGAAGCTGAACATGTGAACACCATTTGGGCTTCATACATTTCCTTTGATAGGGACATGTATTTCCCCTTATTTTCCTATTTTTGTATTTTTCCAGCTGATGCTGTGCGGATGCTATATATATATATTGATTTAGCAGCGATCCTATCACAAATCAGTGCAAACAGAAGCTTTCAGCAGATCCTGTATGCAGACAGCACATATTGGTAGTTGCAAGAGCGAGACTGTCAGTCACAGACAACAGGGCACTTTGTGGAAGAATGATCACGTTGATTGGGACACTTTTTGGGTGACAACAAATGACGGTAACGTTGTGCACGTAGGACGGACACAAGAAGCAAACAGCAACATATGAATTGAATGAATAAGTTACCTTTGCATAAGGCAAAAACTGTTGGAAAGTGCGGGCGGACGAACTGTGCATTTGGGATTGTGATCAAGAGAAGAGAGAGTCCAAAGAATACAGCAAAATTAAGTATGCAGAGGCATTGCACACTCAAAAAACTTTTCCTTTTTGGAGGCAGGCCCCAGTGACGTACCAAAAGAAAGCATACATGCAAATTCAATGCTAGTTGTTTTGTAGGTCCAAACTGCATGCATCAACTGACTAAAGCCGCTGCCACCCAACTGGAAAGTTTGATTTTAATCCACTCCAGAGTTGCTTGCAAGAGACCACAGAAGCAGAAGGCCACTGAACGAGACCACTGGAGCTCTACACGGGAGCTGATCTAAAACTCCGTGTAAGGAGTTACATAGTTATAGTTATATATATATATGATAGCCTTTCAGATGTTCTTAAAACCATCCGCGATGAGGTTCGCGAAAGTATCTTGTGTTTAATCCACGAAAGATTTATCGAAGGTCTTCGCTTTCATATGTGTTCCTTTCTACCGACCGACAAATGGTAGAAATACAAAGCAATCCTCCGGCAGAGCCGGTGGGCGGAAGTGTCCCCATTGTCACAGACTAACGAACTGAAGCCTCAACATGTCCTTTCGCAGTGCATAAAGGGTTCTCCGACTCCTGTCCCCACTGTCATAGACTAGCAACCTGAGTAGGCACAGCCCTGACAGTGAGGCGACGACCTGCAGCTGCTCTAACGGGCTGTGCAGATGTTTGCGCATGTTACGCTGTTACGCATTCCCGGAGAAATCATCAGTGAAATTTCGCGAAGGACCCACGAAAGTTTCGCACGTGCGCCGCTAAGGTCCAGAGGCCCCCCAGAATCCCCCAAGCTGCACCACCCTGTGCTGGTAGTCCAGTTGTGCTTGACTCTATTCATAGTTTATTCTAAGCCTGCGCCATGACTTAGGACCTCGAATACTGCTTGTCGCACAGATGCTGCAAGTAACCCCGGGTAGCTGTGGAATTCTAAACCTTCTGCCGGGCTCATGTTGCAAGATGTCAGTCCTACTTTGCGATACAAACATGACTAGTTCCGGCTCATGTTACTGTTAGCTAGACATGGTTGTAGGACCATGCTTCGCGATGAGGCCGCGAAAGATCATTTTTGCTGCGAAGAATGGCCATTCCAGGATGAAATAATATTGACGAACCACCATATGAAGGACTGTTGTAGTTACTAGTTTCAGTCATGAAACCACGCTCGTGGACATACAGACGGGAGAAGCTGGGAGAGCAAAAAAAGGAGACAGGAACTTAACGGAGAAATCCCTTTCGGTTGAGTTCGCCACCCGCGGTTTCTAGCTGATTTAGCTGCGGCGCCTGCTGCTGTCCTCACCTCCGAAACAGGCTTAAACATTTTTTAGTGATTGAGAGATGTTGAGAAAACAGGTTCAAACAGTGGCACCGGGTTCTTGAGAACTTGACAGGAGCCACCCTTCCGGCTGGTGTGCACCTTGGAGGTGCCTGGTGCTGTCTACACGCTTGTGGCCTTTCAACAAATGCTGTTGGGTGCAGTGACTAGGCATTCACTCAGGTGTACTCCGATTTTTTTGCTATTGCTTCGGCAGAGAGATCTAGCAGCCTCCCCACTATTTGGCAAACCACTACTGTGTAGCACAAGATCAGGCTCTATGGGCAGGATCGGATCTTTCAAGTGATTTTATCCCAAAAACATAAGTGTTTGCTGCACTTTTGCTGTTTGTGTTTGATTGAATGCTTCTTCCACCGGCCTTTCCAGGTCATTGTATGCTTTGTTGTACTCTTACCATATCTCTTACATATCAATCCGTTTGGGCCGGGTGCTCAACGCCTTCATAGATTTAGATCGTCCAGCCAAGGTGAACAACCGACTGCAGCTTTGGAATTTAAAAAGCGGGCAGCTGGTCGAGGCAGAGTCTCAGACGTCCGTGCGGACGATGCGGAAAGGGCAACACTTGGACTTGGACGGTAGGAAAACGGAAAACCATGGAGGGTAGGCCGGGAAGGCCGTGAGGATGGAGACGAAGGGAGGGCCAGGGAGGGAGAAAGATGAAGGAGGAGCCCAGGAGTGGGTCTCACCTAGAGGAGGGAGAGGGGTTGCAGCCACTGGAGCGGGCAGGTAACTACCAGCTACAGCTAAGTAGATTAATTAAGTGGCTGATGAAGCAAGTGTTGGCAACATGATAATGTGGGATCTTAAACTGTCAACTCCTCCTGTCATCAAAACCCTGGTAAACAACGAGAACCAATAGAGCTAACTCCACGACATACCTCGTAGCGGTAGTAGTATGTATATTAAAAAACAAGGGAATTCCATTGGAATTCCTTCCTTTATTTCCTGTCAATTGCCATCATTGCCACTTGGAATTCCAAAAAGGAAATCGAAGGAGAAGCGATATTCAATAGGCAATCAAAGGAGAAAACCAGCGCTGTGAGCGTGTGCGTTTTGCACTGTTTCCTGCAGATGCCTTTTTTACATACACTTTTGCATTGACTATGCCAAATCAAAGCGTGCTTCCTGCAGATACCAATCTTGCAGAGACAAGGCTTGGGGTAGACCAAACATATCAAATACAAATCCTGTAGAGAATTAGTTCCCCACCGAACATGCAAATATATATATATATACATATACTGTAATGCCAACACTGGATTAATCACCCCCCCTTCAAAGTCAACAAGATCAACAAGGTTTGAGATGCGAGGTATTGGAGACCACATCCCCTTAAATGTTATGACCTGATGATAGATGATGGTTGGTGGGATTCTGTGTGAACACTGAGGCCTGTGTGAGGGGTACCCTTTGTGAGTTTGAACACGTTAAGATGTTGTTAGAGTTTTAATAAGGGAAAATGAAAGTCTTTTGCTAGATTCATTTTTAGGGATTGTGGAACAAAGATTGCTAGGGAGAACATTTGCAGCTTAGGTTGCAACTTTAAACAATATATATACTAATGAACTGCTATTTCGTGTGTGTTCTTTTTCTCTGGGGCCGGCCCAAGAAAGTACTGATTAGACTGATGGAAATGTGGAATTCAGGTTTTAATTAGTTTAGTATTGGGGGCTCGAGCTGGGCTTGATTAATAGGGGAGGTTACTTAATCCTGTGTGCGCAATAGACTTAGAGGAATAGTTGGCCTCATATGCCCAAGTTATTGTATTTTATTACGGGTAATTTGCAAAAGCAAAGGGCGGAAGTTTCAATAAAAGCAAGGAAACTACAGTACAGTAAAGGAAGAAGTTCGTCGTTTTGCGACAAGCACTCGTCCTCCACTGCTCAAATTGCTGCAAATCAGGCAAACTCCGAACATTAGAAATGTGCAAGCTTTGTTCTTGAAATCATCCTTGCTGATGGCATAGGTGAATTTTCACCCAAGATCAAAGATGAGCCCTTCAGCTTTTGCACAGCCACCAGGAATTTGATCATGCAAAAAGCAAAAAAAACTGATAAAGCTGGCTATGTCTTCCAAGTAGGACAAAGTGGAGGTGGCCTTCATTGCATCCAAATAATCATGCAATTTCTTCCCCTTTCGTACTTGTTTAACATGCACATCATCAGCTCCGCTTCAGTGGGCGACGCTGCAATGCTTGTGCCTGTGTTCAATTCACTTCGGAGAAGCTGTGGTAGCCATGGGCATGCAACTTCAACCTGGTGCTGGATAATCTTCCAGGTCCACTCATCTTTCAGCATCTGGCTGAAATACTCATCATTGAACTTGATTATGATGACCTCCGAGGCCGAGGTCATTGGCTGTAGCTCTTCCATGCAGCTCTGGCAATTCCCATGCCACACACTGCGACATGTGGCTGCAAGAAAAAGTCCTGAATCTTGCTTTGCCACTCACAGGAGCAAGTCTTTTGTTTGAGCTTGCAACCAAGGTTTTCATGCATTCCTATTGTTCTTCTTTCAAGCGTGTGTTTTGGGATACTTCAAATTTAGGCTATCTTTAACCTTGCTTGACTGCCAGCCCATTTTCAAGACTTTCAGTCCTGTCCCGTGACAGGCATGGCTGTTGAGCATGATCCCACTCCTGTCTTGGTCATGCACAGTCAAAAGGCTTGGGTGCACCAGCTGTTCATACATAAGCTTTCTTTGCCCAGAAATGTTCAACATCCTTTTGGCTTTGGCATTGGTTGCTGGTGGGCTATCATCTCTGATGGCTTCACATGCAGCCATCGCAACTGATTGCGTCCGTGGCTGCAGCACACGCACGCTAAAGGCTTCACAAACTTAAAATAATGAGCTTTCAAGACCAACCCACACTGGAAAACACGCATTCACAGAGGAGGCTACACAGGCCTTCTGAAGCGCAAACAAAGCCTTCACGGGCACATTGTGGCATTGACATACAAGACCCATCCATTTGTGCATACTTGTACGGAATGACAATGCACCGCATGCAAGAATTGTCGAACACTTGCCAATGCATTTGTGCCAGCTACGGAAACAGATTATATGATTATATAGTTTATTTACATGATTGCAAAACACAAATTTCATGGTTATTTGTTCGGTATATTGATGATTTTAACTTGTTGGCAACATTTGGCAACCTATTAACTAGTCAGGCTAGAATAGCTAAAACATAACTAATTGTGATAACGTTTTAAGATAATTAGTGCATTCAGTCAACTCTTAGTTATATAGTTGCTTTACCCATCAAAAAATATGTTAGATCACATAAATAGGTTCAAACATGTCAAAGACCGGTTGTCAATAGATGATTTATTGCTGAATATCATGCATAAACATCAATACCTACACGGCCATCCAAGTGGCTCCTCACTTAGCTAGCTCTTCACTCTAACTCGCGGACTTATCTACTGGTCCACGCTAACTGTTGCCTGCGCAAACTATTGCTTGAACTATTGAACTGTTCGTAACTATGGAAGTTTCTTAACTGACTAAACTTCCTTTGAATATGATATTGCTTTTTGATCGCTTGACATTCATGTTTGAGCTGGTCAAGCTCTTGGGCCATGTCAACCCAGGTTTGTTGTTGTTGTTGTTGTTGTTGTTGTTGTTGGCGCACTCCATTAATAACATAGTTTATTTGTTGTGTTCTTCCCGAATGCGTAGCGAAGGGTTCTCGTTTAACTCTGGGGGTCTGGGGGTCTTGTTCGCGACGCGTTGTCTCAGCGTTCGCAACCGTCCGCAACCGTTCGCAACCGTTCGCGGTAGAGCGCTAAGGCGCTGCCATTGGGGGAAGCTTTTGGAGAGGGTTTCGGATGGAAACGTGACTTGTCAGATTCGTGTGAAATAGCGAGGAATCGTGTGGAAATGTAAGATGTTGAAGTGTGGAGAATGATTTCAATGCGCAGGCGCAGCGTTTTGTGAGATCCGCAGTTTTCTGCGTAGTTTCATTGGGGCTTGCGTTTGGAGAGTGGTGTTTTTGGGGTGTTGGTTTCAGGGTGTTGCATCGAAGCTCTGTTTTCGTGACAAGTCTCAGCTGAAGTGGCGATTTTGGTGGATGGGAGTGTGCTCAGAACGGGTCGAAATCATTCCAAACGTGTGGTGCCGCGGTGCAAATGTTGTTGAAGCTCACATGATGTGATATTGTGACTTTTCGTGGCAGGCGCAGTACTTTGCACGGCTTTTGAGGTATGGAAGTGCGATTTTCGTGGCAGGCGCATTACTTTGCACGGCTTTTGAGGTATGGAAGTGCGATTTTCGTGGCAGGCGCAGGGAATCGTGGAGTTGCGAGGTGTGACGGAGGTGACATTTCGTGGCAGGTGCCGGGAATCGTGAGGTTGTGAGTTGTGGTGGAGGTGACTGTTTGGAGGGGCTGGAATCGCAAAACTGCTTGGCAGGGCTGCTTGATGTGTGTGTGTGTGTGCTCCGATGGGTGTTTCCGCTTGACTTTTGGAAACGCTTGTTTTGCAGACTTTGACATGTGAGTTTTTGAGGAAGTCTCGTACGAAACGCTCGTTTTGCAGACTCGAAGCGTGACTCGAAGCCTCGCCTGTGCCGGCGTGTCACTGGTGAGCGGGATGATTGATATCGTGTGATAACATCTTTGCTTCTAGTGGGTGGCCGACCGTGTGGCGAAATTACATTCGTGATGTCGCAGTGCCATGTGGATTTGCGCGGCCTTGGTGGGAAGTGCGTTTGCGTGGCGCCGTCCCGCTGGGGAGGGCGAAGCATGCTGGTGTAAACGCGGCGTGTCGCTGGTGAGCGACAAAAGCGTCCCACAAGAGTGTCCTAGAATTGAGATCGCCTAAGTAGGTAGAGCCTGAAGGCCATGGAAACAATTATTTTTACATCAAGTGGCTGCCAAAAAATGCGATTGAAAATGCGTTGATTGAAAAAATGTGATTGCTAGAGTAAGAAAATGCGATCGAAAATGCGATGTTCTGAAAAATGCGATTGCTAGATGTTAAAAATGCGATTGAAAATGCAATGTTGAAAAAAATGCGATTGCTAATGTCAAAAAATGTGATCCAAAAATGCAATGCAATTAAAATGCGATTGCTTGCTGCAAAAATTACGACTGAAATGCACCGCCAACAAAAGGCGCCTGGGCTCTTTACAAGTGTGCAGCTCAAACGCATTTCTTTTGGCGATTGCGCAGTCCAAACGCATTTTTTTTGCGATTGTACAGCCCAAATGCATTTTTTTTGCGATTGCGCAGCCCAAACGCATTTTTTTTGCGATTTGGCAGCCCAAACGCATTTTTTTGGAAGAAAAATGCGATTGACAATCCCAATCGCACTTTTTCGCAAAAAAAAATGCGCCGCGCCCGGACAAACGCATTTTTTCGTAAAAAAATGCGCCGCGCGCAGACAAGTGCATTTTTCAATCGCATTTTTGCAACCTCCGCAGCAAGACCTTATCGCAACGCATTTTCAAAACGCATTTTAAATGCGATTTGAGGCGACAAACGCATTTTAAATGCGATTTGTCAATCAAATCGTATTTTTTTTTGCGCCATGGAAGAGTGGTAAATTTGCGTACGCGTGCAAACGCATTTTTCACGCCAGCCATATGTCCAAGGTCGCGGGAAACGTATTTTTCCGGGGCAGAGTTGGGGACGAGCCCGGAAGCGAGCTGAGAACGATGTTTGCTTTTGTCCTGTCCTTCGGTCCTTGTCGTCCAGCTAGCAAGCTGGCAGTCTGGGTTGGTTGGGGTGTTTACGTCTATTTTTGGTTTGCAGGACAGCACTGGGGACATAGGTTGTCCGAAGCAGCCAGACAAACAAATGTGACCCAAAATCCAATGCAAAAACACCATTGCTCGCTGCAGTCAAAGTACGCGTCAAAATTCAATACCAAAAACGAGCGTTGAGGCTGCTGCCCCACCTGATGTCTATAGAGAACACTTGAAAAGCCTTGGCCTTTGATTGCGCTTAGTGGCGTGCCCACACGGCGAACAATTAGGAAGTTGTGATACTTGCAAGCTTTCTATTTTTTCAAAGTGTTCCAGGGCTGCGTTCCCACGTGGGGACTGGCTCCCAAGGTGCATTTTGGATCCTATTTTTTGAGCCATGGGAAGTGAACAAATAATTCCCAACAGAGCTACAGAGCCTACCTAGGTTAGGCAATCTCAATCCTAGAAGAGTGTCCCACAAGAGTGTCTCGTAAGAGTGTCCCACAACAAGAGTGTCCCATAAGATTGTCCCACAAGAGTTTCCTACAAGAGAGTCCCGTAAGAGTGACGCACAAGAGTGTCCCACAAGAGTGTCCTACAAGAGTGACCCACAAGAGTGTTCCACAAGAGTGTCCCAAAAGAGTGTCCTACAAGGGGCGGTTACTCGTTTTTGCACGCGTTCGAACAATCGTTTTTGCACACGGATCGACTTGCTCGTTTTTGCACACAGACTGTTTGTTGCAACGTTTGTTTTTAGAACACACTCAATGTTTGTTTTTCGCGCACGTCTTGGAAACTTTAAGACTGATTTTGAGCTCTGATCGATGGACACCTGGGCCGATCCACTAACACAAGTCAACAACACTCGTGAGAGCAGCAAAAAGTTCAGCAGACAGTGATTTCAGTTTCGAACAGGGTGTGTGTCTACACCTGTACCAAAGGATGCTATATTGCCTGTTTCCAAACTATAGTTTTAATCCACAGCCAGGGGGTAGCGGCAGATCATTTGGGACCGCTACCAACGAAGACGCCCATTTGATCTGGTGACATCAGAGCTGGCCACTCTGACGTACCTGCGCCAAGTGTTTGAACCCTCATTAAACTGCTAACGAGTTTCTTTTGTTTCACCCATGTTCAACAAGTCTTTTCTCCGACCCAGCAGTCTTGCAGCTGCTTGAAGTCAAGGTCTAACTGCATGTGAAGGTCTACCGAGCAGTAAAGTGGAACTTCATCAACTGCAGATTTAGCTCTTGCGAGCATCAATCTAAGTGTGTGTGTGTGTGTAAAGATGTTGACCTTGTCCAATCTGGCAACCCTTTCAGCACTTCAGAGTCACACTGTTTGGTTGGCAACTGCAACCCCCCCACCCCCCACCCAACCCGCTCATTATAGTTTGCGTGTGCAGATGAGTTTGCGTGGCAGAAGAGTGCTTTGAAAGGCAATCAAAAGTAAGTGTGTGTGTGTGTGTGTAAAGATGAGCTAGAAAACGTGTGCGTGTGTAAAGATGAGTACGATTTGTGTGCGAATTTGAGTTAGATTTCAGGGGGGGCCTGTGTGCGAATATGAGTTGGATCTGTGTGCGAATATGAGCGGCCACCCCCTACAAGAGTGTCCCACAGGAGTGTCCCAGAAGAGTGTCCCACAAGAGTGTCCTGTAAGAGTGACCCACAAGAGTGTCCTAAAAGAGTGTCTCACAAGAGTGTCCCGCAAGAGTGTCCTATAGCCTATAAGAGTGTCCTACAAGAGTGCCCCACAAGAGTTTCCTACAAGAGTGACCCACAAGAGTGTCCTACAAGAGTGTCCCGTAAGAGTGTCCCACAAGAGTTTCCCACAAGAGTGACCCACAAGAGTGTCCTACAAGAGTGTCCCACAAGAGTGT